TTCTATGGACAGGCACAAAGGAGCAGTTGGGGCTGGAAGGTTAGGATCTCAGCTTCGTGATGGGCCAATACCCTTTCTCTCCTGGAGGCTTCCTGCAACCTCAGAGGCCGCAGGAACCCTCCAAATAAAATATCAAGGCACATGTTTGCTCCCCCTACTCGGTAGGAATCAGAGCGAGTTTACATTTCCAAGGCACAAGGTTATTCCTTAACACTAGAGTCGGCTGGGCTCTCAGCTCGGCCCCAAGAATTCTCCCCTGCCTCAAGTAGAAACCACTGTCTCATTCCCTCATTTTAAACGCACCAAGTCCGGCTCAGAGAAAGGGAAGGGACACGCGGAGCAGGCCAGGCTTTCAGGCGGCACCGGAATGTCTTAGTCCTGGCTTGCACCGGGCAGCCTTGAGATTCGGCGACCAGAAACTACTCCCCAAGTCCCCGCCAAGGGCCGGCCTAGGGCAGACGGCTGCCGTTCCTCACGCGCAGTTGCTCATGGCCTTGACCAAGGAGCTCTCCGGTAGCTGGCGGAAGATATCCCGCAGCGTATCCAGTTCGCGGCTCAGCTGTTCCACCCGCTTGCGCAGGCGGTCATTGTCACTGGTCAGCTCCAGTACCTTCTGCTGCGTCTCCACGTTGCGCTGCTTCGCCTTGTCGCGGCTCTTGCGTACGGCGATGTTGTTGCGCTCGCGCCTCACCCGGTACTCGTTGCTGTTCTTGTCCACCGACTTCTTGGCCTTGCCCGCGCCCGTGCGGAGGTCAGGGTGCGTGGATGACAGCCCCTTGATCGAGCCACCCGGGCCAGGCAGGCCAGCGGCGCCGAGCGCGGGCGCAGAGTGCGGGCTGGGCACAGGCGTGGGCGGCGGCGTTGGGTGACCGGGCTGCAGGTGCATGGTGGTCTGCCCGCAGTGCGCGATCTGGAACTGCAGGTGCGGTGCGGCCAGGTGCGCGGGCGGCGGGTGAGCGTGCGGCGGCGGCGGCGGCGGCGGCGCCTGGTAGGGGAAGAGGCCGGCCAGCGCCAGCTGCTTCGCCTCGTCCTCCTCGCGGGGCTCCTGCTTGATCACCAGCGGCCGCAGCGCGGGCACCGCGACGCGTTCGTATAGTGGCTCTAGCCTGCCGTCCAGGTAGCCGCCCGCCGCGCAGCCGTAGCCGGGCGGGGGTCCATGCGACCCCCCGGACATGACGGCGCCGCCCGGGCCCGCCGGGGCACCCGGGTAGTCAAAGTCGCCGCCTGCTCCCGCGGGGGCCGCGGCCGCCTTGGCCTTCTCCTGCTGCCGGCTGTGCTGGAACAGGTCGGCCAGGAACTCGTCGTTGAAGGCGGCCGGGTCGATGTAGGCGCTGATGTCGATGGACGTTTCGTGTTCGCAGATGCCGCCCAGCGGCTCCGGGGCAGCAAGTAGGGCAGGGGGCTGCGCGGGGCCCGCGCCTCGCGAAAAGCCGAAGGCGGCGCTGCTGGGCGCGTGTGGGGGGCTCTGGAGAGGGCTGCTCATCGGGGGCCGCGGCTCCGCCTCGTAGAAGTCGGCCGACTCCATGGGACAGCTAAAGTGCTCCTGGCATGGCGAGCCTCGGCGGCCTCCAGCCTGCGCGGGGAGCCGCGTCCGCCGCCCACCCGGAGCCCCTGCTCGCTCGCGCCCGCGCAGCTCCGGGTCGCGAATGGCCAGGCCCGCGCGAGCTCGGCTTTTATACCGGGGCGGCCGTCGCCCCCTGGTGTCCAAACTGCTCTCTGACCACGGCGAGGGCAGCAAGGCGCCCGCTGGGTCTTAGCGCCCTCCTCTTGGAAGCCTCGTGAGCGGCGAGGGGGCGCGGAGAGGCGGTGGCGCAACGCCCAGGGCCTCCAGCGAGGCGATCGGAACCCCGGAGGCTGTGTCATGCCGCGCCCCGACAAGCTGACACTCCGCGCACACGTGTTCGGTGGCTGCCCACGCCACCAGCCTCTCCAAAGCATCCACTTCCAGCTAACAGCCAGAGAACCCGGAGCACCCAGACCCACTCAGGGGATCGATGGAGGACGAGTCGCGGTCCTCAGAACCAGGCCTGTCACAAACCGCGGCTTCTGTCCCAGAGCGCGGAGCTGTGAGGACAGTTTCTGACGCGCAGGCCGGTGCGCACCGCCTGTGGAAAGACCCGGAGCGCGGAGACTCGGGGGCTGCTGTCTCTAATCGCCAAGCAACCGCACAGAAAGTCACTCAGGAGCCCCTCTTCCCGCTCTGCCTCTGAGTACAGCGGGGTGCCGGGGGCCCCGCAGCGCAGAGCACTAGGACCCTAGGATCCTGAGGCGGCCGCCACTAGGGAGCCTGGCGGACCCAGCCGGTCCAGCCGCTCTGGAAAACTTTCTTTTAAATTACTTCTCCAGGCCCGGGCGAGGGTTGTTCAGGCGCGCGAGGCCAGTGCTCCTACCCGCCGAGCAGTGGCCAATTTTTTCTTTCTGGATGGGCAGGTGGTCCCCTGGGGTGGGCCACGCTGGACACCCGGGCGAGCGCTGGGAAGGGGACAGGCACGGAGAGAGGCAAGGAGAGCTCGACTTCAGGACCCGGATCCCGTGGGGAATCCCACAGTCCCTCGTCCCCACTGCCATTCAGGGGCGCGCCCGGGGCGGGAGCTGGAGTATCAAGGGAGCCGGGGCCAAGGGGTCCGAGCACCCACTGGGACAACTGCCACGTGGCTCGCACGCAGGGCGCCAGGTCCCCAGGATCCTTGGTCCCTTAGGGCACGCACCACCTCCGCGCTCACTGCTGCGGATGAGGAACTGCGGCGCTCTCTCTCCAGCGACTCTGCGGCGGCACCCGGCTGCGTTCGGTGGTGGGCAGGTAGGGCCTCGCGAGCACTGGAACCTGCCCAGCTTCCACCTGGCTCAGCCCCTGCGGCTTCTTGAGCTGAGGCCCCCACCTCCCGACCCCCTACTGTTGTCTGGAGGTGTGCCTGCCTCGGAATCACAGGGCTGCTCAGGTGGAACCCCCCACGCAGCGCCTTTTGGCTCTAGCGCAGCGCTAAGACCCTCCCAGGGGGCCTAAAGGAGGTGCAGCTAAAACACGGCTGGAGAGGCCCAAGCTTCCACTGCGGTCACAGCAAAGAACCACTTTGTCTGGGGAATTAACGCATCCTGTGCTTTAATCAAGTTCCTATTCAACATATTCCAATGATTAATGACCCAAATGTTTCATCTTGGGTCCAGAGCTCATAAACAAGATATTTTAACTTGATGCGTTTGGGCAGAGGGAAGAAAAAGCATATACATTAAATAATGTCATGTGAGCTGAGGATCGCTGTCTGTGCCAGATGCTGGGCAGGTTAACACACTATGCACCTGAGAAGAGATGGCTGGAGGGAAATAGGAAAGTGAAAAGGGATTTTCAGGGCTTTTTTTTTTTTTTTTTTTTTTTTTTTTTTTTTGCGTGCCAAGAATGCCACTAAGGTCCTGTTCCTAGCACCAGAGATGCAGGAAGGAAAGTGATGCCAGTTTCATCCACAGTGAGGTTTGCCTGTGCAGGGACCGAAGCTGGTTTTAGGACTGGAAGAAATCCCAGTGTGGGAATAAGGCCTCCTGTAATAAGCAGGGGCCTGATAACTGTGTGGGGTGTGAGAGTCAGGAAGTGGGTCCCCACCCCAAGGGCTGCAGGCCTCCCTGTAGCAGAAATAGGGCCCACCTGGCCCACCCTGTGCACTGATTCAGAGTGCCTTGAGGGAATGGAGAAGTGGCCTCTGCCCTCTGGGGGCTCGGAAAGCAGCAGGGAGACAACAGCAAGTGAGACTGAGTCGCTGGAAGGAGGGATCAGGGGAAGGGGAGGATAGGGTTTGTCATTAACTCAGGCAGTGCGTTAGAGACACAAATGGGGATTGAGGGTGGTTGTGTTGTCTGCTAAGTGGTGCATGCCTGCAATATCAGCACTTTAGAAGATGACGCAGGAGGATCGATACTATTTCAAGACCAGTCTGAGCTAGATAGTGAGTTCAAGGAAGATCTGAATTACATAGGGAGACCCTGTCTCAAACAAACAAACAAACAAACAGGAAAGCAAATAAAGGAATGCATGTGCAGTGATAAAGGGACATCTTACTCTGGTGACTATGGGGCTGGGGAGGGGACAGTCACCTGTGTTTTCTGGAAAGGCGCTAAGGACTGAATTGTATTTCTCCAAAATTCAAAAACCCCAATGTAATATTTGGAGATAAAGCTTTTAGGAGATAAAGTGAAATACTGAGGGTGCAGCCCTAATCAGGTACGATTGATGGCCTTATAAGGAACATCCTGGCACTCTGAGAACCTGAAACAGGAAAGTTGGAAGTTCAAGTCCAGCCTGGGTGATTTAGCAACTTATCTTGACCATATCCCAAAATAAAAAAGACTGGGTATGATGTAGCTGAATGTAAAATCCCTGGATTCTCACTTGTATCCTTTTACTGTTTTTTTTTTTTTTTCTCGTTAAAAAAAAAAAATCCCTGGATTCAGTCCTTCCTACCCACCCCCCCCACACACAGATCAAGTCCATATACACACAGCAAGCAGGTAGTCATCTGCCATCCAGGAAGAGAGACACCACCAGAACCCCACCATATCGTGCAATGGCGCCTGAACCTCAGATTTCCAGCCTCCAAAGCTGTGGAAAGCCAATGCCTACAGCTTACACCACCCAGTCCAGTGCGTGGCATCCCACTGGGGAGGTGTGAGCAGGTAACATGGGGTGAGAGAGGGCTTTGTGCAGGAGTGAACTTTGGAGCTGTGCCCTGAGGGCAAGCAAGAATTTGCTAGAAGGATAAGGAAGGAAAGTTTTTCTAGGAGGAGGGACAGCAGGTGCAAAGGTGGAGAGACTGCAAGCACCTGGAGTGTTCCGGTTAACAAAGGACAAGATGTTTGACTGACTGGAGTCTGGGGCCAGCCGGGAGGGGCTGAGATAAGGCTGATCTTCAGACGGGGCTGGGTTGATGGCCAAGGCCGTTCCTGAGAAGGAAAAAGCCATCTCTCACAGGTAGGTGTCCTCCACTGTTTATCGGGGAAGCTTTATTGTCCTGATCGCTTCTGGCCTTTTGGCTAAGATCAAATGTAGTATCTGTTCTTATTGGTTTAATATTGTCCTGTTGGGTGAGGGGGAGTCTCCATATAAGGTGATCCTGATTTTTGCGTGCTCTGGGATAAGGCCTGGTTCTAGAGGCAGTTTCCCTCTAACCATTTTGAGAAGAGAAATGGAGCCCTGTAAACTTTTAAAGTTTTGGTTCAGACCATGCACAGAAGAGACTTAGTACATAAAATTGAAAATTATCAAATTCTGAATAGCAAAAATGGAATTAATCCTTCCAATGTAATTTTATAACAATCTAAAGCTAGAGTGAGGAGGTAGGATTGGTCACTCCAAAGCAGGACCAATAAGATTAAAAAACAAAACAAAACACCCAGAGCCACAATTTCCAGGCACAACTGACCTCTGCTTAGAGGAGTATCTGATACGGTATATCTTATGTGAGCTGGGCATAGTGGAATATGCACACTGGGAGGCTGAAGCAGGAGCATCCCAAATTCTAGCCCACCCTGGGCAACTTAGTGACTTAGCAAGACCCTGTTTCAAAATAAAAAGTTAAAATATAAAAAGGCTGAGGATGTAGTTCAGTGCAAAAGCCTTGGGTTCACTTCCCAATAGTGAAAAAAAAATTATGTGCCATTTCAGTGATTCACAACAACATAGTCTCAAATACTTTAACATAGTCTCAAATACTCAACAACATAGTCTCAAATACTTTAAAACTTAGACCAAAAGAACGAACAAAATATTAATTATTTTTAATTACAAATCTACTCATGATTGAGTTTTACACAAATGCATTTTTATGCTTCAGGAATCAACTGGAAAAGTCTAATAAGAACCCATGGACAATCAACGAAAAGTTGAGTGTTTCTTATCAGCAAACAGTGCTTAGAAAGGCCCTTCTAACCATTAGGTGACACACCTATGTCCCCAGGAGGCCCGGTGGTGTGGCAGACTCAGCTGCACTTAAACACCTACTTGTCACTTACTGAGTGACCTTGGGTAAGTTACTGCACTTCTGAGTCTCTATTTTCTTTCTTAAAAACGAAGAACGATAATTCATTTTAGGGCTGTGGGAAGGATTAGGGAGAATCAAGATGCCAAAGTCAGCTCCTAGGATGCTCTCTGCTTGATAAATATGAGTCTGCTGGATTATGCCTTAAATTTCCTGCCTTTCCAAAAGCACATTTTTGAGATTCTACTTTCCTCCAGAAGCTTTAAATATTAAAAAAACTGCTTTCAACATAGTTATAAAATTTCTGGTAGTATATTAAAGCTAGGGTTCTCAGAGTCATCCGTCTTCGATATAGGGACTGAATCAGAAACCTAAATAGAGATAATTTTAATTTTTAAGTAAAGATAATTTTAATTTTTAAATAAAGATATGTTTTTAAATGTTTAAAAAATGGTGCCTTGTTTACTCAATGTGGTCTAGATCAACAGACCTAGAAATCATGATTCTCTCAGCAGAGCACTCAAAAGTATAATTAATTCCATCACTGTGAGCTAGAAATGATTTAGTTGTTAGGAAAGATAACTGTGGTGCCTGGATACCATCTAACAAAACAGCCATGTGTACACAGGTCTGTAAAATAACACTGTTCAATGCATGAGAATCAGTACTTTCCAACTTTTTCTGAATATCCTTCTACCATAATATGTATGTGACCTCTTTACTGTTTATCTGATTAGTTTAATTGCAGCAGATAGCAGAGGAGGAATGGCAGGCACCAAAGATTCTGGGGGAGGAAATGGAATCAAAATGTAAAATTTAGAAAATTCTGTTATGTTAATTTTGCTCAGCAAAAGACATTTATTATATTTTGGTGGAAACTCCTTGGGTGGATGATGGGCCCTAGAACTCCCCGTCTAGCATTTGGAAAACGCTGCAGAGCAACCCATGGGTGTGGGCGGTATACTGTGTGCAGCCCCCACTCCATCTGTCTGAATATTAAAAGTTACCAATCAAGCTAAGAAACTGTTGGATCAAATAATGCTCTGCCTTCTTATCTTAACAAATATAGCTTCCGAATGTCCTAGAAGACCAGATTTAAATTTAGAAGTTCACTCTGGAACACGACCATTTGCTGCTGTCCCATCCTGGAGGGTCCTTAGATTCTTACCTGGTGTAAATGCCCAGCACAAGGCTCAAAGTGCTGCCCATACCCTGAAAGTTGCCACCTCCTGTCTTGTCACCGTTTGGATCTAGGGAGGTGCACTCAGGCTGCCACCTGCTGAAGGGCTCCTTATGGGCCCAGGCAGCTAGCTAGCTTTGGGCTGTTTGAGCAGGAAATTCCTTGGTTGAGGGGGAGGGCGCTCCAGAGGAGGTGTGAGTGGGGCCCTCTACCGTGGGCCTTGTGCCTGGGTCTGACAGTGGACTAGGCTTACACCAGGCAGAGCTCCAGCCCTCACTCACGGGTTGCAGGAGAGCAGTGGCCCTCAGTGGCCGCCATCTTGTCTTGAGCTCCTTCCTCTCCTCTTCCTTGCAGTGCTGGGGATTGAATCCAGGGTTGTGGCGCTGAGCTACAGCAGGAACATAGCCCTATTTATTTATTTATATGTTTGCTTATTTTGAGACTATCTCCCTAAGTTGCCGAGGCTGAGCTAGAATTTGTACTCTTCCTGGAATTACAGGTGTCCTGGCTGGTCCCTGCTTCTGTAGAGGACGAGGCAGTGAGCAAATTTCCAAACCTGAGTCCCCAAGTCCCCCTCCACTTCATCTCCCCTTGGGCCCCTGCTTGCAGCTGTGGGCCTCCGCTGGGCCCTGCACAGCCTCTGACTGGTCTTCCTGCCTTCTTGTTCCCAAGTCTCTCAGTGGGGAAATCTGAGTTATCTCTGAACAGCACCTTCAGGTCTTACTGCCATCTACTTAAATCCTTCTGTGACCGCCCCGTGTATGTGGAAGAAACCCCAGTGGACTCATGCAGTCAAGGGCCCTGTGGAAAGTGGAAATCAGCCCTTGTCGCTCCTCACCCTTCTCCTCTCCCTAGCTCCCCACTGCAGAGCGTCTCCCAGCCTCTGGTACTGCCCTTTCTTCCTCTGCTGCTTGGAACGTTCTCCCCAGGTTGGCACAACTCCTTCTGTCCTGTCATTTGAGTGTCACGGTCCCAGAAAGTTTCCTTTCAGGTACGAGCTGCAGGCTAGCCGCCCCTCCCCCACCACTCCTTAGGCCATTGTGCATTTTATTTTCCTCCTAGCACGCTCAGAAAAATGGTCTTGTTTACTTCTTTTACTTGTTCCTTATCTGGCTTCCCCCACTAGAATGCCAGCTCCACAAAGGCAAGGACCTTGTCCGTCCTGTTCTGCATATTTCTAGAGCTAGAACAGGCCTTGGCTTATGGGAGAGCCTCAAATATTTGTTGAATGAACACAGAATGGATTCTATTGAAGAAAACTGCGACCCAGCCACCCTCCTGGAACTCAGTGCGTTCCCAAGCCTAGGAGGGCTGCTTGGGGGTGGCCCTGAAGGATGCTGGAGAAGACCCAATCCCCTGGGTCAGGGCCCCCAGGGTAGACCAATCTGGAGCCTCCTGAAGCAGGTCCAGGCAAGACTGCCAGAGCCTAAAGAGGCTGCATCGTTTTTGCGTGCCAACTCCAAAGAGGCCCCCCTTAGGCAGATGCGGCCCCCAAGGGCTTGGCTCAGCGAATCATGCCTTTGTTGAGGAGGAAAGAGGCCTCTTTCTCTGGGAGAATCCAGGCAGGACACAAGTCCTGGTGAGCCGAGGCCCCCTGGGGTGGACCCTGAAGCACCTCTCCCTCCCTGGCTCCAGAGCACCCCCTGTCTGCAGGGTGCTTCTGGGAGGCCTGCTAGGGAACATGGGCCTGACTTCCACCAGGTTTCTAGGGCCCCTCCAGCTCCTGCATACCCACCATTCTGACGCTGCTCCTTCTCCTTGCTGATTCCAACTATGCCTCAAGGTTCATCTTAAACAAAACAATCCTAAACAAAGTAAGAAGCCAAATTTTGTGAAAAGTCCAAAAAAGAGATTCTAGGCGCTGGTGGCCTAGAATCAAGGCTCCAGTTCTAGTCCTGTGTGACCTTGTGATTATATACTCAGCTTCCCCGAGTCTGAGCCCCTAATAGTGTGTTCCACAAATGCAGACACTGCACATAAGAGAAACAAGGTGCAGACGATGGGGTAGTTGCGGGGTTTCCAAATGCCACATCTGTTCAACCATATTACCTGGGGCTCAGTGTTTCTCAAAAGAAGCCATTATCGGGTCCTGCTATGGTCTGTGGTAGACACTGCTAATTTACAGATCAAAATACCAGATTCAAGCTATGAATGGTGGTGCATGATTGTAATCTCAGCTACTCGGGAGGCTGAGGCTTGAACACAAGTTCAAGCCTGGGCGACTTAGCAAGACACTCTTAAAAAAGGTTAAAAGGGCTAGAGCTGTAGTTCAATGGTGGAGTGCCCCTGGGTTTAGCCACAAAACAAAAATCCAGACTGCAAAGGTTACCGTTCTTGACATCCAGAATGAATTCCCAATGGACATAAAGTTACAGAATATCATGTGGCTTCCACCTTTATGGAGAAAAACTCATTAAATCTATATATCTATGTCTGTATGTGTATATATTTGTAGGCATACAGAAAGAAGCTCTGAAGGCTGAGTGCCAAACTGTAAACACATTTCCTGCCTTTGTAGGGAGGGGGATAACTTCAGCCTTGTAATTTATGTATATTGAATTTTTTAAAAAGATGAATATATATTTATTATTTTTATAGTTTTATAAGCTATACAAATACTTTGAGTCATCTTAATTTTATAGTTTTATAAACAAAATATTTTTAACTCATCTTCATTTACTCTACAAATCATGCTACAATGGATTGCACAGTTTTGTAATAACTTCAAAATATTTTCCATTGACTGTGCTTTGCAAACAAAAAAACTTGGACACATGTTCTAAGAACGGATGTTTTCAAATTTGTGAGTTTTTGCATATGAATGATTATAGTTACAGACACTAAATCACATTTCATCCTGCATTTATAAGTCATCATTTTAAAAGCAGTTCATTTATTTCTATATAACTTCTACAGGTCAGTATGAAAGAGACTCACAATCCAAAAGACAATTGGAATGCATAGTTTAAAACACAGTAAATGTCAATCGATTTTAAACATGTTTAAAAGTGATAGTCTGGGGCTGGAGACATAGCTCAG